ATGTGGCTCTTATAGATTCCCAACAGAAAATGAGGTTACATGAGAAGAATATAAATTATTAAACATGACTATGACTATAGCTTCCAAACCTGTTCATGAGGGTGACCAAACGTCCTATGCACCATTAAACATTTTAAATGGACAAAACTCCAAAGTGAAATTCAACCCTGATAGAAGCAAACATAATCCTGGGGAAGGCCGTGGATTTACACCAAATTACCTCACGGCTGACTTTGACTCTGGGTCTGCCTTCTGTTCCCCCAGATTTTTACCCTTGTTTGTTATCTCACCTTTCCCTGGTAATGCATGCAAATATCATCCACCCTGCACACTCGGCATTATCGAGTGTCATTATACACATTAGGTTGCTAAGCATCACTTAGCAACATGTGCCACATACTGCTATGTTTCTCCAGCACTCTTTCCCTGCATTTTTCCTGAACACCAGGCATGCCAATAAAATGCCCCAATCATACCAAGAAAAAGCACATTTCAACTGGCAAGAAGTTTAGGGCTACACCACACCCACAGCTGACCCTCATGCACTTGGCACAGGAGCTGGGTCTTTAAGTTTAGCAACACACACACACACACACACACACACACACACACACACACGCACTCGCACTCGCACTCGCACTCGCACTCGCACTCACAAGTTAAGAAAAAAGGAAGCTTTGGGGGGTCGGGGGAGAACAGTCGGTTTCCATTTCTGTTCCTGGAGCAGCGTTGTGGAGGTCCTAGGGAAGGGCTTCAGGACACATCAGCAGTATCCTTCAGTAGCTCCTCAAGCAGCCACATTCCTCTCCCAAGATGCCCTTCATTAAGAGCCGTGGCCTTAGAGCACAACCCAATCCCTGCTGATCAACACTGGCCCAAAGATCTTTCTGTCCACAGGCTTCAAGCCACTTTCTAGATATTGCTCTAAAATCCTACCAGCCTGCCAGGAAGGCATCATCCTCCTAGATGTTACTGAACATTGAACCTGAAATTTTTCAGAGTAGATATTTATCACTGCAGTGTTTAAAAAATAAATACCTACATAAATTAAAAGTGGGATGAATATTAAACACAGAGACAATTTACCAATATCAAAGTGCTCCTGCCAACCCAAATCATTTGTTTTTCCTTCTTTAATTTTCTGTGGAACTCACAAAGCAGTGCGACTCACAAATCATCAGTGGCAAAACCATAAACTCTCAGAAATATTTTTCAGGAAACAGACACGTTATTTTTCAAATCATTTTTCACTTTATGCTATTGACCTTGGAAACAACACACATTTGTGTTCCAGCTCTTTTGTGGTAGCCAAGGGCAGCTACAAATACCTATTTGTTCAACTTTCTTTTTCTGAAGGATGTCAAGGTTGGTTGGAATTTTTTTTTAATGAAGTATTGAAGCATTTACATTAAAGGACAGAGCAGAATAATTATTAAATGTTTTCCCAATCGATCGCAGAAGATAGTACGTCACGTTTTAGTGCTGCCAGCTCTGAATTTTCCCCTTTTAGAATTCTGAATCATACTCAATGATTTCCACCTCCCATTATCTTAGAAATATCTGATATTCCAACCTCAACATCTTACAGTCACCCATTGCCCAAAGATTGCAAGTTCCTCCTTTGCCTTCTCTCCTCATTCTTTAACAACCCCACACACATCCCAGAATTTTAGTTGCATGAGAAATTCCTGATGAAAATGTTTCACCTATGTCATTTTAAAACTCATGAATATTGACTGCACCGTGTACCTTAAAAAGTAGGACCAAGCCTTGTGGTTACTAAAGTAGGGAAGACAATGTCTTTTGATCAGCCTGCACAACTACACGTGCAGAATTCTCTGTTACAATATCAAAAAACGGTTGCTCAAATGCTTAGGCTCTTGAAAAAGGCTTATAAAAAGCCAATGTTCCTCTGGAAAGGGAAAGCTGTAGCAAACTGACCAATCTCACACCTCACCATTTCCTTAGTGGTAGCAAAACAAATTTTATGGACTGTTCCTTCCACATTTTGCCTAAAAGGAAAAGGGCTGGGGATAGGCCTAGCAGAAGGAACATCTCCTTCAGAGGCCCAAAGGAAGGACTTGGAGACAAAGGCAAAATTACGACAATTCCACTTGCTTTGCTTTCAAAAGAAAGAGGACAGTGCTAAAAGGGAAGACAACTTAGAAGAAAGTGACTAATAGGACATGAAAGACATAATAATAGAAAGAATTAAAAATAAACATCCTACTCACTCATTTCAGCCTGCAAATGAGTTTGCGGCCATTTAATCCTTGCAGCCAGAAACCTGAGACACGGGGCCTGGGAGAGTGAAAAGTATATTTTAATAGAATTTGAGATGTTGACAATGGCTAACAAAACAAATAGCAGGATTACTGTGCTACCTGCAGAAATCAGGCCACAAGCATACGGTCAATATTTTGTTTTAGGCATTACCATTTGCACAGATTAAAAATACCAACTGCTGTTTAGGAGACTAAGTGCAGTTTCCCATTGAGGTCAGTAGTCTTAGATAAGCAAGGGCAGAAATTTATTTCCATTCCTTTTTAATATGATTTCCTTTAGAAGCATTTCTAGTTGGTATCTTCATCTGCCATCTTACAGATCCATTCTTTTGCCCAGGCTGCCAAAGAGTTTTGCTATGATTTGTGTATGCATTTTTTAATACCTCATTTTCATTTTATGGGCTGTATTCATTTCAGTTTCACTTACCTCAAGAGTTGCCATATCACTGTTTGTGCCACTATAGTTATAGTGGTGTCAACACTTTATTGTAAACCATGATTTTCAGGCTTTTTATAACTGTCATAAGGATTTACTTCAAGACAAAATCTTGCTCATATCACTCTTTCCAGCTGTAGAGAAGTCAAGAAGACAACAGACACCATTCAATTCCCCTGCACTAGGACAGCAAGATCTGTAGTTGGTCTCTACTTATGGTGACCGCTACATCGTCCCACGATATTCAACTGGAAATCTGTTCACAAGTTTCATTGAGGAAAAAATAGAGAGAAAAGACTTTCAAAATAATTATGAGCATCTCTGCAGCTGTGGAGAACAAGAGGCTTGAAGACACTGTTCCCAGATTTAACAAATCATGCTTTTCTTAATTATGTACAATAAGTCATATTTACTAGTCCAATTGCTGACTCTTTTGATAAATATTTTTTTTCAAACCACTTATGCACACTACTACCAATGCATTTGACATAAATGTCTGAGACCACAACTGTAAACCATCAGAGAGGTGTTTTCAGATGTGCCTCCAAAGCAGTGAAAAAAATTTTTTTGAGGGACTTTGTATGCACATATATAAATGTATGTAGTATCTGTACACTAAAACAAGCATATAACTGAGAAAAAGGAATACCTACAAATGTATATATGTAAGTGCAAGTAATAGATTTGTACATGTAAATGTGGCGATAATATGGACATTTGGGGAGTTTGCTTCTATTCACCTTTGGCCATTTGGTATTAGATGTTCAAACCAAGGCAGATGTAAAGGTTTATTATACTGAATAAATGCAAATGGAAGCAAAATGTTGAAGTAGAGAGTTTTAAAGCAAAAGAAAACACAAAAATGCAGATGGTAATTGTGCAATACAATTACTTCGCAAGGTCTGTTATACAAACTGGCAGATGCAAGAAAGTTCAGACACAATGTGACTTAACAACACGTGAGATTCAGTTTCCTTTGGATGCCTGTGCTGAACATCCATCTTATCAGCAGGAGTTAAACATCAAGAACAGATTTATTTTAAATATACTTCTTTTTATAAATGTTAGCTTTTTAATAACTATCATAAAATATTTTAAAAGTACATCTTTTCCTGTCAGGATAACAAGAATAAAAGCATCTGAACAATTTTATGGTCTTAACTTCAGATTATAAAGTGTGTGCACGCATGTGATTTCCTTTCGTCTAAAATGCAGAAATTAAAAATGAAGTGATCATTTTTCCTATTTACATTTCTGGCACAGTAAACAGTTCTTTAAACCTTTATGAACGTGCAATTTATTTGGGAAAAAAGGGTGTCTGCAGAAATTAAATAACTGCGTTTTTGAAAGCTGAGAAAGCACGACAGCCCTAGTAAGGCAAACCCCACTTCCCTATCAAGCCCCTGCATGCTAAGACACTGTCACACACAATTTATGTTCACAGAACACAACTGTAGACTTCTGATGCAAAATGCTTAATAATAATTTAAGGATTCTCCATCTTAAACAATATATTGAAGGGAAAAGACCATTTTATTACAGACATAAAGAAGTCATGTGCTGATAAAAAGGAACAGGCTTGCACATCTTGTTATGCTGGGCCACAACCCTCAGTAATGAGGAGTCTAAACATTTCATTACAGACTTTTTATATTTCTAGATCTTTTTAAAACTTTTAATAATTATAAATAAAATATTGATGTGTTGACATGACCACTTAGCTATAAAAAATGGATCACTAGAAGTACACTACGTATAAATGACAGGATAAAAAAGAAATTTGATCTTCTTTAAGCTGCTAGTTGTTCACTGCCATATCAAAAAGACTGCTATGTTCGGAAGTGCATATTTCAGCATATATTATAAAAAGAGCCTTACAATGGGGGTACCATAATTTAAGGCATTGCTAAGGCATAAAATTAAATTGATTTTATTACAGAAAGCAAAATGGTTCTATAACAGAATTAAATATACATTTATTTATAAGAGTCTTCAGATTTGCACAGTATTAACCCTGAAGTATTTCACCCAATTATAAGTTTACTACTTTATAAATACAACTTTATGTATTTAAAATTGCCTTTAGACAAAAAGAAACACACTAAAACTGCAGCCTTGAACACAAACAACCCTGGCAGTTCAATGACTACAGTACTTGACCTTTCAGAGGTGGAATGTACCCAGAATGCTTAGAAATGCCCAGGAAGTAAATTATTTCTCAAAACTAGCTTTTTGTTTGGCTAAATGAACTACTGACCATAAAGACACCTGGAAGGAAATGACTGAGTAAACAGTATTTTATTTCATATAAATATGATTCTTAACTGTTAAAGCATTTCGACCAAAACTCTTTCCTGCTACTCATGTCATTCGAGTTTTGAATCTTCCATTTCTTTCTGGTTCTGGAACAAACAGTGTAAAAGTCATCTATATCCGAGGGGACAAATATACATATAGCAAGTCACTACAGTTCGTTCATAGTACAATTTTGTTGAGCCAAACAAAGCATGGAGAGCCTAGGCCTACCTTGTTTCTTGGCTAGAGCTCCCACTGGGAGCACTGCACAAAGAGCAAGGATAGAATATATCCCATGAAGAGGGCAAACATTTCAATCCATACTTCATTGCACAGGCCTAATTCCTGTTACATTCAAGGGAACTGCAGTAGCTAGAGATTATTTGGATAGTGCAGCCCAGTTTTACTTTTTTTTTTTTCTTTTTTTTCTTTTTTTACACAAGATTAACCCCAATGTAGCATTAATACATGTTTAATGAATAATTCTGTCTGGCAGATTTAGAGTTAAGGCTCCTATTAAGTTCCTAACTCGGAAGTCTCCCACAGTATTAGACACATGATGGAGAGTTGAGATCTGCTTCACCCTGGACCTGCCCACCTACGGAGGAGTAGCAACACTGACTTATAAATGGTAAACCACGCTGACTCTATGTAAAATACTCCATTGCTACTTCAGCATAGGGAAAATGAAGTATAAAGTTACACTAAAACATGGATGACAGCCTTGCCCAGAAGAAGTCAGTGGCAAAGCTCCCATTTACTTCAACAGGGCCAAGGTTTCACCAGATGACTTTTGTTGTTCTGTACTGGGTGATTCCCACATGAACACTCTCACCCCCTCTCCAAGTTAAATTAAAAAACCAAAAGGCACTGGTCTACATAAAATACTTAAAGCCTGCATAATTTCAGTCTTTAAAATGGTACTGATCTTTCCAGCTATCCTGGATTTAAAAAAAACAAAACAAAAAAAAAACCCACTAAGTGATTTAAAACATCTGTACCAAGGCCAATAATGTTGTATTATATTTTAGCTCGATGCAAATAAGGAGCCTGTTCATATTGGATACTGGCACTCAGCATCTCCCTTTGAAGCCAATGAGATTTGCAAGAGCTCTGTACGTCTCCAGATTATTCCCCAAAGTGAGGTAATTATATTCAACTGAAAAACAGAGTGGAAAAAAACAAAGAACAATTCAACCTGAATAAACCATTATGAATACAATACATAACAATATAAAATATAAATATTGCTGCAAATGGGGTTCAGATGAACATGGCTAATCTGCAATTACGAAATTAGAGTGGAAAATAAACCTGATTTTACTTTGTATGCTGCCTACAGAAACTTTGGTTGTAATGGCTGCTTCTGGATACCCACAGTCATCATTACATTTCTGAAGGGAGCAAAAAAAGTGGCGACTTTCAGAAAAAAGAACCTATAGGAATTTTATTTTCTATGAAGTAATCTATTTTAGAGCTCTGTAAACATTTCTAATTAAAACCTACAACCTATATGGACAACCACTTGCTGTTTCTAGCTGAGTGTTCACAGTTATAATTCCACGTTTTATACTACCCAAGTTTCCAGCCAAATTCTCTCTAGCTAAATATTGACATTAGTGTGCTATTTTAAAACGAAACAAACTCAAATTCCCTGATTGCAAAGTGAAAGTGAATAAATGCACACACAAAAAAACAAAGGATAGAGATTCTTCCAAACTGCAACAGCAGATTTGCACTCACTCTCAACCCCTGATCACACACAGTGGCCCAGCTCCATTCCACTGGAGTTTCAGGCATATCAATGAAGACAAAAATTGTCTCATTTAGTCTTGTTATGAGTACTGCAATCTGTCCAGGATTAATGCACATTGGTTTTAACAGACAAAGTTGAGAGTGGATGTGTCAATTATAGTCAGTGAACTGTATTGTAAATTTCAAAGTTACAAAACCTACAGAGCCAAAGCAAAATCTTATTAGCAAACAAGTAAAGATTCATCGTCACTGGTATTGATTTCTGAGAGTGAAGTAGAGGACTCTAGCGTTGGCACTTCCACAGAATGGCAACAAGCAGCATGAATACCCAGAGGTTCCTCCCGATATGGATGAGGACAACATCGGTGTTGTCCATCCACCTGAATACGAACATTCATAGAGCTGTCTAAGTAAGCAGACTCCCATTTTTTTAAAGGCAATCTACATGGCTCTTCACTTAGTGGATGACTCCTGTTTAAACTACTGTTCTCTGCAACAGTCCTTCTGGCTGTGGCACCTCCATGGAGCATTTCTGTAAGACTTTCAGACAAAGGATCTCTGAAAGTTTTTCCTGAATCCACTTTATTGGTTTGTTTTAGCTCACTGCTGGAAGGCTCAGTACCTGAAGATTTGTCAGCTTGTCCAGTCTCTGGCTCTGCATGAGCAGCTGCACAAGTATTAGATAAAACAGTGGAGGGTGATGGCTCTGAGGCTTCAGCCACTGGCTGCAAATTGCTGCTTCCAATATCTTGCTGTCCCCTGGCCTGGCTCTCTGACTCTGAGTTAGGTCCTTCAGGGGAAGGTGGGAGGCTTTGAATATTCCCATCTGTGCGATTGATAATGCCATCACCCAGGATTGTTTGTGAAGTACGTGCTGGTGTGAGGAGTGGGATCTGTCCTCGCACTCGTGGTCTATGGAAAAGTCTGTTCCAGAGCCTGCCTAGGCGCCTTCGGGATGAATTCCGTCTTGAAGAGTGGCGCCTCATCTGTCTCCTCATAGCAGTTCGGATGTTCTGCAGCACAGATGCCTATAAACAGACACAAGAAACCATGATTTTGGCAGAGAACAACTTCAAATATCTGCAGCTGTACTATCCACTAACTTCTCCATCTGAGTGCATCCAAGTAGCAGTCTTAGAAGGGAAAACTACAGCTTGAATGTGGCAATGTAATAATAAACTCTGTTTAAAATTAAATCAGAATCTGCTCAGCCCACACCAACCATTTTTCCTAGAACCCTCTCAGCACTGCTTCCAAGGTTAGCCTCCCCAGCTCAGCACAATTAGGTGCAGGTTTTTGCTATGATGGTTCAGAGTACTGCACCACTGGGTACTGCCCCACTGCAATGCCAGATGGAGCGGGTAAGACCCAATTTATTAGAGAAAGGGAGAAAAGAAAAAGGCAAAAGCAAACTCCCTCTGTGCTTACACAATTAAAAGTGCTTTAATCAATTATACATTTGGTACACTAGGAAAGGGAATGTATTAAACAGTGGAAGGCAGATTTGGAAAAATACAAGAATAAGAAAGTACAGTTTTTTACATAAACTTTGCATTTGCTAATTAAAAATCCCTGGAATATTTTCCAGAAGAAAATGCCTACACTCCTCTTTTCTTTTCTATTTTAAATTCCTTTCAACATGAAATGCCTGTCTTTGTTTCTATTTTTGTTGAGATGCTTCTCTCTGTTATTACATTCTGATGTACAATGTGTGTGTTTGCATGTGCACACGACTTTTATCCATTTAGCTTGCAGCAGTCATGAGGCCCTAGCTACTCTAGAAAACACAGCCATCCCATGAAAATGTATAACTGTAACTCAGCAGTACAGAATACATTACATGTATTTTGTTATGACACTTTCACCCGTTATAAAGTAGTTTCATGTTAGTATAACAAGACAATGCAGACTTATTCAATATATGGGAGACTGTAACAAGTTTCATTTACTTGCGATGCATTGTAAACTGGGAAATCTTCAACTGGTGGGATAAGTCCTTGTGCAATCAGCTGCCCATAGGAAGGTGGAGCTTCCCGCCGCACAAATTCTGCTTCAAGCCGAGTCATTTGCGTTTCAAATGCTCTGGAAGGAACATAACCAGAGTAAAAACAAAGACAGACACAAACATTGCACAAACCAACATACCTAAAGAGAGGAGGGGGAAAAGAGGGCGAACTGGATCTTCTGATCCAGTTTCCCTACAATTAGTGTCATCAGGCAGCAGTGCAGTACTAAATTAGATTAGGAAAAAATGTAACCCAAATGCAAGGCAATACAATCTTCTTTTCATTAGGATGTTAATAATATACAAAAGAAATACTAGTGTAGGATAACTTTATATTTCTCACTAACCACAAGAGAGAGAGAGAGAATCCACTGGCCATTTCTGAAAGAACAAACCAACTTTTAACTGCTGAAAACTCAATACTCTACCCATTTCTTAAATGTTGCAGTCAATTTTACTGTGGTATAATTTTACTTTGCATCTCATCCATCCACTTGGATGGACATTTTATTCTTTCCTTTAACTAAAAGGTCAGTAACTGAAGTTAGAACACTATCAACACAAGATTTTTACCTGTATTCCCTAGTCCTCAGCGAGTAGAGTTTAAATGCACAACCCAGTGCAATCACCAACAGCAAGCCACACACCAGGCTCCCAATCAGGGCAGCTGTGATGACTTTCCTGGGCACTATCACCAGACAATTATGTTCATCACTTCCATCCTGGCAGTCTTCTTGGCCATCACAACGCCATGTCTCAAAGATACACAGGTTTGTGCCGCAGTGAAAGTTTCCTGGCTGGCATGTAAAGCAGTTTTTTTCATCTGAGCCATCTGGGCAGTTCTTTTGGTTATTACATCGGTCAAGTATTGAATAACACAGTCCACTATTTCCTTCACATGGGTATTCGTTCTTCTGACAAGCAGGACAATTCTCTTCATCTTTGCCATTTGGGCAGTGCCACCAACCATCACAATGCTGCTTATCTGTGTAACACTCCTCATCACTTCCACATGGATGTTCCCAGGGAAGGCAGTAACCTTTTACCTGATAGGTTGCATTAAATCCATGGCCAGTACTCTTCGATCTGGCGTGATATGAAATGGTGAGCTGACCCTTTGAGGACTCCACACTCACTGAGTGCCTGTTGTTGTGATATGAAAATGTTTGCATTAATTTATCACCCCTCTCTCCAATTCCATCATACACCTTCACATAGTCATTGTATCCTAACTGTAAATCAAGCTGCAAGAGCACATGCCGGTTATCTTGTGTATCCACATACCAAGTACAGCGTAGGTCTGCCCGGCTATGATCAGCACGGAATAAGTCTGGGGAAGCAAAGGACCCATAAAAATTACCCAGTCTTTTGCCACAGGAAAGATCAGGGCAATTGTCCTCATCTGAACCATCACTGCAATCTTTAACTGAATTACATCTTAACTCATTTATCAAGCACTTGGTGGAGTGGGCTATGCTACACTGGAACGTTCCCGAGGGACAGATGCTGGACTGAGGCTCCGTTGGGGGCATGGTGCAGTTTCTCTCATCCGAGCTATCCCCACATTCATCCATTGAATTACACTTCCAAGTATTAGGAATGCATTTGCCATTTGCACAACGGAACTCATCTGACTGGCAAACAGCCTGGGCTATTTTTCCTGTGAAAGTAAAAAAAAAAAGATTATTAAAACACCTGGCTATGTTTTTTTTATTCTAATTTTTTATCCCAGCATGAAGTGACTCAGTCTGCTGGGCCAGCCCACCTCAAGAATCCTCTCAAAGACAAATGGTAAATAAAAATGTCCAGTACTCTCAAGGCCCACACTTTAAACCAATGTTTATATTAGACTTTGCTCAACAGAAAAAAAACAGTCATGGGAATTGCAGGAGAGATGGTGAACTAAGCTCTGAGTAATCCAACAAAATTCACTGAAACTGTACAGAGCTTTTACCTCTGATGTAAGAAAGGCGAAATCCCTGAGCCTGTCCTGAACTTGTTGCATCTGAGTGGAAAAATATCCAGACATGATCTCTTGCAGAGATGAATGAGGGGGGCATGGAGGACCCACACACTTTGTACTCCTCTCTCTTGGAAGACGGACCAATCATCAGCCAGTCTACAGAGCATCTCTGAGAGTCCTCTAAATCGAAGTTCCTAAAACTTTCAGGAACAAAGAAAACACAAATGAAGACAGAGGGTAAGAATCTGAATATGGACATCCTTTCATATTCATAATATCTAAAAGGAAGAAAAGGAACCAGTGAGCTATCCATTGTACAGTGACTGCCCACAAACAGCACTCATTTTTCCCCCCATTCAGAAAATGATCTATCCCACAGGCTCAGAGCACATACAGAGAATACACAAGATTTAAAACGAACACCCTGCTAAATAATCCCTCAAAAAATAAAAAAATAAATGTTCTGTTACCTGATGTCTTTAAATCAAGATTGGATAATTTCTAAAAGACATACTCCAGTTTAACTACACATTACAAAACACATTAAGAAAAGGGGTCAGACTAGATAATTATAAAAGTCCATTCCAGCCTTAAAAGCAATGCATCAATAAACAAACAAAATCCTTTCTTTGCACTGAAAAATCATGGAGTTGGACAGAAAAAAAGATCAAACTTTCAGGCAATGGGCAGGCAAAAGTGTTGCGGTAAAGTCTCTGAACTCCCAAAAATAATAGAGTCAGATCTTATTTCATCTACGGACAAGATGTAAAGATAGTGGGGAAGAGAAACTGAGGCAAAAAGAGAGGTTGTGATATCTGTGACTAGCTAATAGGTATTGTGGATAGGGGAAGAAGCAACAGATGTGTAACAATATCAGTGTAAAATCTGAATGTGTTCTCCTGCTTGTCACTATTTTGATTCAGTCTTAAGGATAACATAATGACATATTCTAAAAGTAGGTTTCTCCATGTCATCCTAGAGACTTGAGCAGAGTGGAACAGGATCAGATTTAGGTGCCTAAATCCACATAGGCCCCTGACAGGTAGGTTTTGGCCCATAGTTTTTTTTCCTCCTCAGATACAAATCTCTTTTTGTGCTCCTGTGTTCAAACATAGAAATCAAACAACCCCACAAAACCAAAGCTGCATATAACTCATAGCGCAAGGGTTTGTATAAACTGTCTGCAATGACATGCATTTTATCCTGAACAAGATCAGCTGCAGATTGCGTGTGTCACAATATGCAGCAGCCTTAGACAATGCAACTTATCTCCCTTGAGAGATTAAAACAATGGAGTTCTCTCTGCAAGAGAAGGGATATAGCTGTCATAGAAAACATGTTTCATTTTCCTGTCAAACACGGAGTTGGGATTAAGTTGGTATGTTAAAAGTTATCACATATATTACAGCTGATAGCCACACTGAAAATACTCAGAAAAAGTAAAAGCTTTAGCAAAAAGCTGGACCACGTTCTACACAGATTCTATCATAGGTACCAGAAAAAGCTCTGTGAAAATACAAAGGGTACAATATGGCCGTATGATCATAAAGCTCTAAGTCTGGTCATTTCCTTCAAGGGAAAAGGAAAAGCACATTAGCAAATCCACCCCATCCAGGAGTCTCAGCCTACAATCATCTACTTTTTATGCACGCTCAGTAAGCTCTCTGACAAAAGCATACAATTAGCAAGAGAAAGGGTATGGCACAAAGAACGGAAAGAGAGAGAATAACAAAGGTGCAAAAATAAACTGAAAACCGAAATATCCAACCTCTGTGCAGTAGTCTCCTAAATAACTAAGCAATAGGGAATAATTCATCTCAGAAATATGTTCATTTACTGCTAAAAGCTCCTTTAAGTGACGTTCTCTGGTTCTTCCTAGTTTGCAAGATACATCCCTGAAATACATTATTTTCCAGTATCAATGATCTCATTAAATCCTTCTAACTAATGGATTCTGGAAGCCAGAAAGAGCCAGAGATTTTAACTGTTAGTATGGAAATGTAAGCAAGGGCCTACATCTCAGAAAGAATAATTAAAAATACAAATATAAAATGGGTGACACCTGACTGGAAGGCAGCACAATGGAGAATAAACTGAGTCTTGGTAAATCACAGACTCAAAATAAGTCTACAGTCATGCAGCTGCACAAAAGACAAATACAGTTTTGGGAAGCATCAACAAAAGCATTAGGTGCAAGTCATGGGGGGTGATAGCGCCTCTCTACTCAGCACTGGTTAGGCCACATCTTGAGAGTACTGTGTGCAGTCTTGGGATCCACATTTTTAAAAGGACATAGAGAAGTTAAAGAGGGCCCAAAGATAGGTGACAAAAAGGATAAAGGTCTTGAAGGCAAGTCATAAGAGGAGAGTTTGAAGGTTGAAACAGGCATATTCAGTTTACGGAAAAGGCACTTAACAAGGGATATGACAGTAGTCTTCAAATAGTTGAAGGGCTGCCATAAAGAAGAGGGAAAGCACGTTTTATCTCTTGCTACAGTGTGTAGGATTTGAAGTTGCACCAAAGTAGGTTTAGACTCGGTGTCAGGAAAAAACTTCACTGTTAGAAGAGTGAGGCAGTGAAACAGACTGCCCAAGGAAGTTGTGGACTCGCCATCATTGAAGGTGTTCAAAAAGGGGTTGGGCAGGCATCAGTCAGGGATGAGCTATGCCTGCGTATGCTTCTTTGCTTTGCTAGGACTGGTACAGACATTACACTTAATGCACTTTTAGCACACAAAAAGCATTTTGTAGCTGTAACAGAACAGACATTCATGGCACATAAAGCATGTTAAAAATGGCAGACCCCACTCTGCATTAACCCGGGAAGGAGGCATCCTAAACTAACGTGCTTTCTGTTAGAGCACTTTATCGAACATCTATGCCAGATCCCATTGAGGGTTAGCTTAGAGTGCAATCACTGACATCCCAGGTGGTGTTGTGGATGGCTCCGCTTTAGCCTTGGGAAAGCTCCTGTGCTCTGCCTGAGCACTGTGCTGGGTCCTCTCCTTGGCTGTCACTGACCCAAGTCAAGTGACAGCCTCTGATCTCAGCCCCATGCACAAGCTAGTGACAGGGATGGGGTTTGCTGTCCCTGCAGCTGCCCTGACCTCACAGCACACTGCAGCCCTGAGGGGGGCTGTGGAGGAAGGAGTCCAAGGTCTTTCTCCCCACAGTCACCCTGGCTGGGCTATGGTACGTCGCTGCTTAGCCAGGGGTGGGGGGTGGCTGTTGGGGAAGGGCTCTGGGGTCTCCACCACCCCAACAACGGTGCGCCACTGTCTGGCCTGGGCTGCTGCTGGGGGAAAGACCCTGAAGCCCTTCCCGCTCAACAGCCCTGGCCAGGCCACACCAAACTGCAACTGCTGGCTGCACTCATCAAGAGTCCCCCATGCGGATCTTGCCTACCCCACCCCCAGGACAGAGCCAGCAAGTTTTAGAGGGGAGCCCCTGTGGTGGTGGGTTCTCCCCCTCTGCTCCCCCAGCCGCTGCTGAGAGTCACCAGCTGACAGGGGGAGTGAGGCAGGGCTAGGAAGAGGAGCTGCTCTGGCATCCTCCTGGGAGCTGTGGGAGCAGCCCCAGCAGGCAGTGTGGGCAGGCTGCGAGCCCCCAGCATCAAACAGCGATGTCTGCATGGTTGGCTCCCACTAACTTATAGCACTTTGAGTAAACCACAATAAGTTAGAGCACTTCCACCAGGGGCTTTTTGAAAGTCTGTACTTAGCCCTAGTTGCCACCTGGGTCCAGGAAGGAATGTTATTCCCTCCTGCTGCTACATATAATACGGGGGGTTGGGGTTTTTTTCAGCCTTCCTCAGAAGCACTGGGTGTTGGCTGCAGACATGGCTGGGAATGTTGACTGGGGTGTGCCAACACTCGTGCTGGGACTTAAAACTGAAAGTTTCTGGCTAGAGGATCTTGCCACTTCGCTCAGGATCAGACTTGTAGTAAAACCCCCAGTTTTCCTTTTTTTTTTTTTTTTTTTTATTTAAAAAATACACTCTCTCCCTCTTCCCCAGTTA